AAATCAGAAATCAAAAAGAGAGTAGAGAAGTTTTGTATTTATTTGGTTGAAAAAATTATGATCCGGTTATATCTAACTACATCATATGTCCATATAGCACAATCAAAGATAGAAGATGTAAAAGGTGGCAAATGCTTCTATTTCTTAGATTTCGAGTAAGTAGGTTTGGAGAACACGTTCGTGTATGGAATGTATCAACTTTTATTAACTTTTTTTTACACCTAAGATAAATCATATAAAATTGATTAAAATTAAAGATATGATGTGATAATGACAATCCAATTAAGCCTGGACATAATTTGGTTCGGTTCTCTTTAGAATCAAATCGAACCAAAATTTCTGGGTATTAAATCAGTAGAACCACTGGGCTCTTTGATTCGGTTCGGTTCGGTTCCATCATAGTTAATTTTTCTAACATTTGCAATAGCACTACATTAATCCAATCAATAATATGTTTAATCTTATTTCTTACAAAATAACATAGTCCAAATGAAGAATGATGTAGAAGTGCTTGAGAATATAGGATGTGAACCTTGATGAACAAAGATGAAATTATGACTTGTGACAGGTGAGGGACTAAAAATGAGGGTAGCAACTAAATCTAAATGACAGAATAAGTGAGTACTTGGTGAATTATATAGTGAAGTTGGGCTTGGGCTAAAATTTGTAGAAAAATATAATTTGGGCTCAAGTTAGGCTTGGTCCTTGAGAGTTGGAGCATTGGACACTTACAATTAAGTGGAAATTACCGCCAACCATGTTTTTCAACTTTCAATTTCAAAATCAAGTTTAAGAATTATTTATAACAAAATCATACCTACCACCAGCAACCTACCCATGCCAACAAACCCTAATTCATTTCATACCATCTATTGTGTTACTTCATTTCACATCGATCGCACCTCCATCGATGACCGGAGTAGGCAACACCGCACGGGATATGCGCAACGAAGAAGCACGACGTCCTGTGCACGAAACAGTAGCGCTGCACGACCATCATCGTTACTTCGTGCACAGTGACAATTCGTCCCTGCTTCATTGAACACTGTTGTGCATGAAGTAGTGACGATGTGTGTGCATCGCTGTTGCTTTGTGCACAGCAGCGTCGTGCTTTCCATAGCAACAATGGACGTGCTTTGCATTCTATCCTCGCGTTCTCTTCTTTTATTTGTATGGCGTTGATGGTTGTGGTGTGGTGTAGTGTGGTAAAGGTGAAGAAGATGGTGGATTTGAAGAGGTGGTGGTGGTGGTTGTGGATACAGGTTGTGATAATAGTGTGATAGGGTAATGGTTGCGAGTTGGGAGATTTTTTTAGGATGGCTGGTGCTTGAAGTAGTGGTGGTATATGTGGTGTTGGTGGTGCAGATGCAGGTGCTAATGGTAGCAGTGAGGGAGGTGGTGTTGGTTGGAGGTGGTGATGTTGGTGGTGTCACGGTAGTCAATACGATGCTTGTTCGAGGTTGGTGGCGGTGAGGTGTTAGTTTTGGTTTGGGTTATTGGAACAGCAGTGGTGGCTTCCAAATTTTGGCGGTGTACTTGGTGGTGCAGGTGGAGGTGGAGGTGCCAGCTATAGAGGTTAGGGTAGTGATAGTGGTCGGCGATTGTAGTTGTGGCAATTGGGATGGTGGTTGTGGCTGGGGTTTTTATGATTAATTATTTGGTTGATTGTGATTATTAAATTGGTTCATTTGTAAAATAATATGTTTTCAATTGCTTAAGATTGTGATGAATAAATTGTATATTCGGAAATAAATAAATAATATGTGATCGATAATTTGTGACCTAAAAATTTGAGTCGCGACTTGTAAAATTTGTGATTTGAGATCGGTGAATAAACTGTGATATATAGATGTTTTGATTTGTGAACGATGAATAAATTGCAATCTATCTATTTTTTTGATTTGTGGCCTATATAATTTTTAATTCGTGATCTAGAAATAATTTGTGACGAATTGATTCTATAATTTGTGAACAAATAGTAAAGAATTGTAACTTTATTATATTTAATTAATAAAATACATTTTTAATTAATTATTTAATAAATAAAATTTAATTAATATCTGATTTTGAATGTTTTAAACTTTTTTTTCTTAATTTTGAAATTGGCCATACTTAATTTCTTAGATATTAAATTTTCTCTGTAGTCATTTTATTAGTAAATTGGTAAATTTATTTTAAAAATTTTAAAATAATTTGACTTATTCAATATAAAAAAATTTAAAAAGAAATAAGAAGATCTGGTTCTTGGTCTAGAATCATAACTGAATCAAATTCATCGATTCTCGATTCTAGTACCCATCCGGATATATAACCTAAGAATAATTGAATCAAGTTGCTCAGTTTGGGGTCAGATTGGATCCTGCTCGAGTCGAGAGTTTGTCAAACTCTAAATCCGGCTGAGGGAATGGGATTTAAGAGAATAAAATTAATTGAGAGCCAATTTTATAGAATTTATTTGGGAATAATAAATTATTGAATAGTATTTTAGGAAATTGTGTAGTTAAAAAGTAAGGAAAATTTATTGGTTTGTGTATAAAATATTTTATTATGTAAATATATCTTGAAGAATGATTATGTAGCTAACAATTTAAATTTTTAAAGAATGGCAAACAAGGGCTGAATGGACCATACGATTATTGTATTCTCTACTCTAATTACTGGGTTTAATAAAAATTATTCTTCTTGGCCAGGGCCCATGTGGCTTGGCTATGTAGCAGGGCTGGTTTATTAGACAAAACGTTCACACGACTTTCTCAGTTATTGAAATAATGACTTTAAAAATTATTCATTTGGATATTTAATTCAAATATATCATGATTAATGGTACCATGGCCAGAGATCAGAGCATGTTCAAATTATTGGAGATTGAATTGAATTATGTATTTGGATATCAACAATGCTATAGGTACAGTAAAATCAACAAAAATTTTATAGAGTGCACACTTAATGGATTTCCATTGAAGAAAGGAAAAAAAAAAAAAAAAGAGAGAGAGAGAGAGAGACCAACAGGGTGCTGACATGATAGCACCCTATCAAATTTCTTTGAAAAAAGCCTGTACTTGGATATTCTTGATGGCTCCAAAATAGGGTTGTAGAAAATATTTTAAATTTTTTTAAGAGTAGACATAGGCAAATTTAGGGCTGGACAAAACTCCCGAACTGAACCGATCGAATCGAATCCGAACCGAATAGAACCAAACCCGACGGTTCTTCTAAAGTTAAATACCCGAACGGGTATTTGAATCAAGAACCGACGGGTATGGTTCGATTCTCGATTCTAGGCCAAGACCCAAAGAACCGAATAAGAACCGAATCTTCGTAATTTTTTTAATTAATTAATTTTAAATAAGTAAAATTATTTTATTTTTTTCAAATAAATTTGTTAACTAATTAATTTAGTTCAAACCACAAAATATGATTTTCCTATTTCTAATATTCAGTTCAAAATCGACTTAATCAAATTGATCTCAATTTTATCTAAATCTGTTATTCTACTGTAGTGTCATTTCTACCGGAGAAAATCGAATTAAAACTCTACAACATCTCTCTTAATTATTTTGAGATCGATATCTTTCTCTTTCTGTGATTTTAATAATTAAATTTATGAAGAATTCAACAAAGAGAGACGTGAAACACATAAGATTGAACTACGTTATTTTGTAAGAGCTAATATTAAATATATCATTAATTAAATTAAAGTAATTTTGTATATATTAAAATTTTAATTATAATACGGAACCGAATGGAACCGAACCGGACCGAACCGAACTGAATGGAACCGAACCCGAACGGTTCCGTAATTAAATTTGGATCCGACGGTTTCACTTACTAAATACCCGAAAAATTTCGGGTGGATTCGGTTCTTGTTAGAATCGAACCGAATCGAATCGAATCGAACCATATCCAGCCCTAGGCAAATTAAAGACTCGAGGAGTTAAATTGCAATAGAAAAACCTAGCTTAAGGGGCTATTTAATTCCCTTGGGACGTGTGCCTCCATAACAATGTCTTTGTGGAGACGGTTTTCGAAGAAGAGAGAGAGAGAGAGAGAGAACGATACCCTTTTTTCCTCTTCTGATATGATGACTTTAATCTTATATGTTGAGATCCCTACTTGGTGTACAGATATTTTTTAATAGGGTTTAACAGATAGGTGATGCTACATGTACAAAATTGTGTAAACATAGGTTTACACCCTCTTCACATGGAAGAGGGCCAATATACAATAAATTATGCGTAGGCCCTCTTCATGTAAGGGAGTGTAAACTCGTGTATACACTTAGCATAATTCTTAACAGATACACATTTGACTGATTCAAGTTTGCTCCATTTACATTCACTTTTACATTAACTTTGACATCAATTCACGTGGCACTCATTCACTTCAACTTTGACAACAGTTCACGCGACACTCATTCACTTTTAACTTTAACATCATTCCACATGGCACTCATTATAGTATTTGATTTTTTCAACACCCTTTCGCATCACGGGCCATATTTTAACATAGAGAAAGAATGTCATCCATAATGTAAACTAGAATGTACATATGGAATAATTCTCGCGGATTTTCATTAGCAGTTGGGAAAACAAAAAGGCAAAAAAAAAAAAGAAAATAAAAATGAATGAAAAAAATCTGTCAATACAAGGGTACCATTCAGACATTTTATAAACTGTCTCCTGATAATTTGCCAAGTACAAAGGGTAAATTTCTATATTGAGACTATTTAATAGAATGTTCTATGTTTTTTAGGCACGTTGAAATTACATTTAAAATATTCAATTTTACAAAATCCAATTCTCTTTTGGTACAAATACAAATTTCATGATGACGACGGTATGATATGAAGGGATTTTTTCGTCTTTTCGTCTCAATTATCTTTAATTTATACATTCCAACAAGTGAGTATAAGAAAGAATTTTTTTTACAAATATTGACACAAAATCACATTGCATATAAATAATTACTCATGCATAACACTTACAAAATCACAGAAAAGGTACAATTCACACGAGAATGAGAATATATAGATATAGATATATGTGTTCCTAATATAATTTGGAGCAAACTTGTTTTACGTCTTTTTTTCTAGGAAGTTCGAGCAGACGGTCAAAAAAATCCAATAAAAATTCAGTTTCTAAAAATCGAAACATCACGACTTTGTTCATTTTGCCCTTTTCACCACACCATTCATTTTTAAAATTTGATCGACAATTTTATCCCGACTATAAAGCGTGGCGTTGGACTCTGATGGGTAAGCCCTTGGGAAAATCGACAAATGGAAATGCTATGGCTTCGTCCGTATCGGCTAACTCCCAATGGAAATTGAGGACTAGATAGTGTATGAATACAGCCATCTCCAGTGTGGCCAGCTCTGTTCCTGCACAAAGTCGTGGTCCTCCCCCAAATGGCATGAAGTTATGACTAGCTGTTGTCGCGTTTTGACTTCCGCGATTATTATTCTGCACCCACAATTGTGTTTCCATTATTCCTTGCCATAATGATTAAAGGAGGCAAAAGCTATACTGACATAATTTGACTTTATTTGAGAAAAATTTCTCGATTATTGTGTCTAATGATATTTGTAAGTATAACTCACCAAACTCTATGAAATAATATATAATCCATTGAACTCCAATTCCAATTAAATAAATTCCTTTTATTCAGAGCGGAACCATTTGTTATTCTGATTACTTTATCCATAAACCTTTTTTGATTATTTCAAAATAGCGATACGAAATTCAAAAAAAAAATCGCATAAAAACGGAGATTGAAAACTCAAGAGAGGATTTCGCCTCTTGATGGGCTAGCTTAGGATATGTTTTTAAGTCAATTATACGCTATCAAGCATATCATGTATAATGCAATGAATCACAATTTAAATAATTCATTTCATCAAGAGTTATTTAGAATGGGACATCTTATGGCAATTAAGTTCAATCTAGCATATCAATTCAATTTCAATTACATATATATCTCATCGAGAGTTATTCAAAATTACACCAGGATGAGTAAAACAATATAAGCTATACGGTCTAATGTACGAAAGTACCCTAATGAACAACTTCATATTTGTTAAAAAATGGAAACCAAAGTTTAGACCATTCATGACATCCATCAATGTAGCTCTTTTGGTCAGAGATGGTACAAGGACCTCTCACAACCCCCCCCCCCCCCCCCCCCCGCCCCCCAACACACACAAAATAAAATTGTTTATGCATGTCCCTTTTTCTTCCAGGCACAAACAGAAGAAATGGCTAAAGATTTAATTACTATATGTTGAACAATGTAAAATATAACTGCTACTCCCATCCCGCCATTGTTTTTCATTACATTAAATTAAATTTTTCTCTCTCCTACTTTTAACTATACAATTTTTAATAAAATAATATTACACGTAAATTAAAAATTTCTCAACCACTCATTTTTTTAAAAAAATATTATTCATCTCATTATAATCTACAAATAATGGGGCTCAAACGACCCCGGAGATTTATTTTATGAATTTTGCCATTTGTACACAAGGATTGTACGCCCTGTTGTAAGCCCACTCGCAATAGAGGGCTCGCACCGGGGCTTACACATCGCACTTCTCTTATTTTATCCTAAGGGAATGTGTTAGATCTAAAATGTTGGATACAAACTAGTATATGTATCTACGAAGAAGAAAAATTAAAAGAATAAAGTCAAATAGTCAGGGTTAAAAATAGGGGAGTAGTAGACAGACTAAGTTGATAACAAATGATTGAGTGATTTTAATTTTAATTTTTCAAGTTGTCCAACCACAAGATGACACGTGTAACCACTATTTTTGAGTTTTTTTTAACCTTAATGTGTAGCACAGTTGAAATTAAAAAGAAAGGCGGAATTGGTTGGACACTTGGACCAGCAAAGGGAGAGGGCCACAACGCACGTGCAACCCTCACAATCCACGTGGGCACTTTAATCATAAGCTGAACATCGATGTTCGGGCCACGCACGAGACGATGGACAGAGTGGGGGGAAAGATTTTCAAACTTTGCTGTTTTCTCATCTTACATATACATTGGGTTTTGCAAACATCTGTTGATTGATAAAGACAGTTCTAAAAATGGGTCCCACCGAACACCCTGCATTATGCGACTCTTGAGTATTTGTGACTAGCATTTTTTTATATGAATTTCTTGTACTGCAACATGGGATTCTTGTATAGTTTGTACTTGATGTTTTATTCAAATTCTTCAAGACATTAGATTAATCCTTTTTTTTTTTATATGAATTGTTCAAATTTGTTACTCAAGAATATATATATTTTACTCGAAAAACTCTTCAGGTCGTTAAAATCCAAAGTCAACATCTTTGGTGGGATCAACTCGAGCACGGATTTAAGTTAATTAGAGCCTGTTTGGGAGGAATTTTTTACCTCAAAAACTTGATTTTTTAATCGTTATTTCACTATTTCAGTCGTAATTTTTGATTTATTCTCTCACAGGTGGACTCCACTTTTCTTTTAAAGATCAAAAAATCAATTCTCAAAATCCCTTCCAAACGGAACCTTAGACATTCTTTTTAAATGAGGAGCAACAACTATTAATCTAAGAAATTTTAACCTTTTGTATACTTTCTAACTTATGGATTCAAGTAACGAGTACTAATACTATTGCAAAATTGTAATTCAAATGGTTATACTATAGCCTGAACAACTTAAAACTTTCAAAAATATTAGCTATTGAAAACCCAATTTGAGGGGATAAAAAAAATTAGTTATTGTGAAAACCCTATTGAGAAATTTTGATATTGTATTTTTATTTTCCTCTTTCCTCCCTTTTTTGGGATATTCCAACAACTTTCCTCTTAGTACACAATCAATTTTAAGCTGGTTTCGTGTACATAAATAGTGATGGCAATGGCTCGGTTCACCCTTTAACCCACGAGCTAGGCTAGGGCTCGTGGCTCGTGAAAGACAAGCCGAGCTCGGTTCATTGCTCGGGGGCGAGCTCGACACGGCCCACGAGCTCTCGCACCCAGTCGAGCCGAGCCCACAAGCCGCTTCGAGCTCGTGATTTTTTATCTTTTTATTATTTTTTGATTTTTTGATTTTCCTTTTCTAAAATTACACATTTTTTACGCGCCCACGAACTGAGTCAAAAATGGCTCGTGGGTTGATGAGCCGCACGATCAATTTCACATCCCTATACATAAACCCCTGTTACCACTTTAAACCGTTATATTTTGATATGTCAAATCTTTGATCTTAATATTTGTTTGTTCATAATTAGTTTGGGGATTGGTGGGTTAGCATCTCTGTCCATCCCACCCTTTCCAATTAAAGCACTATCTTCTAGGTATTATCAGAGCAGAAGTGGCCCAACTTCAAGAACCATTTGTCCCCCATTTTTGAAATGAGAATGGGTTAATAGTGTTTTTTTTTTTTTTTTAAATTTGTGGTCGAAAAAGAACGAAAAATTTTCGATTTACATATAATATTTATTTTATGAAAAATTGTGTGGTTGAAAATAGGAAAGTGAAAAATAAAATAAAGTCATTACTATTTTGAATTGAGAAACTTCTCTCATACTTCTCACTGCCTACTCTGATTTTTTGTACATTTCCTGGCTATTTATTCATGACCACCATATACAAGCCCCTATTTATAGCCTGTTTGTGCCCTTTAATTTTAAAGAATGATGTATGAAATAGTGATTGATGTTGAAATATGTGATTGAAAAAGAAAAGATTTTTTTAATTTATATGTAATATTATTTGTAATAAAGAATATATGGTTAAAAAAAAGTACTGTAGAAAAAATAATGTGGTAGAATACGGATGAATGATTGACAAATAGGGGTTTAATGGTCATTATCTAAAAAAAATGAATGTTTTGAATAGTGATTTTTAGAATGCGTGATTAAAAAATAAGGAAAAATTTTCGATTTACGTACAAATATTTTATTATGTAAATATGCAATTGAAAATGAGTATGAGAATTAAAAAATTTTATTTTATAGGAAGACAAATAGGGGCTAACTAAAATCACTAGTTAAGTTTAGAAAATTCTTGGTGTACATTGTGGACACCATAATGCACACATCCCTATAGGATTTATAGAGCTAATTACAAGTTCTCTATAAAAATACAACTCAAAACTTGCAATAATAACATACGTCCAATATTTTTCGCTATTATCAATGAAGGTTATAGAATATATTTTCAAAAATATTCGTTTGGCCGACGGCTTCCAAATACATCGTAAGCTAAACCGGTACTGACGAATAACCAACCCGCAATGAATAGGGAAGGTAGAGTAATGCTATGAATGACCCAGTATCAAATACTGGTAATAATATTAGCAAAAGAATGTTCCCCCCGTTATTGTCTACTATATTCTTAAATGTACGGGATTGCTATTCGAGCCGCAATTCAGTATGAATTGAGTAAGGCTCGTACCGCTTCTCTCCTCTCCGACCCGACCATTCCTTCCTAAGGAATGGAGTCAGGGTCGTACCTTTCCTTCCCTTTCCCGCATTCCATCCGATGGAATGGAGTACGGGGAAGCCCATTGCTGTAGCTCTCCTGCCCCTCACACCAAGCATCAATCGTTAAGTTTTGTAAGTTGAGTGATACAAATTTATCGTGTCTACATACAAATATCTCCATGTCTTTCATATCCAATTCAATGGAATACGTGTAAATGGAAAGTCCCATATACAACTTAAAATGAAAACAACGAATAACATATAAGGATTTCAACTATACGAATCCAAAAACTCGATATGGTATTAGAGTCCAATTAGGATCGATCAATTTGATCATTTTAGAGGAGCAAGTATAATTCATTTATTGCATTACCACATTGAATAAGAAAGGGAGAAAGAGAAGATGGAGACAAAGAAAAAATTTTGGGGTTTGAAGAGATGAAGGGACGAACCTGCAGCCATCTCCATGGATTGAAGTGGCAAGGTTGGTGAAAAAGTGAAGGATCCAAGTGCACTGCTGAAATCACCGGTAATACTTTCCACCCACATGGAATGTCATAACCTTTTTTATAATAAAAATATTTAACATTAATAAGAAATCATTTATAATTAATTATTTCTGCTTTCTGCTGGATATAAAATATTCATTTAACAAGTCAAGAATCATACCTTTATATCTTACATCTTTTATGGCTTTCCTGTGAAGAAATCTCACCACATTCCCCAGCCTTAATGTCTCACTTATAACCTGTTAATAATCATGCAGAATATATAATAATTTATAAAATATAAGTAACTTTTTTTCGCAGTAAGCAAGATGCTTTTAAGGACGGTTAAACGTGTTGAAAGGGAGAGGTAGAAACATTACACATTGTGTGAATTCCATTTTCTTGTAATCATCCCAGCTCAATTCTGTCTCGCCTAATTCCCTCTTAGCTTTAGAAATTTCTGCATGCTCTTCCTGAATTCACATAAGCAGGAAAAAATAAGTATGTAATAAATAAATTAAGAACAGGATGAAAACAAATTATAATTAAGAAAAGCTATTACTTTTAATTGGTGAACAGCAGTGGGACACCCTTGTAAGAAGTAAATGCCCAAAGCTATGGCTACAGATGAGGTTTCATGGCCAGCAAATAATAAACTCAGAACCAAATCAAGAATTTGCTCCTTTGAAAGATTGGAATTCTTGAGAACCCAACCAAGTAATTCATTTTGATCATCTTCACTCTTTTTCTTCACCCTTTCCTCCATTTTTTGTTCGATAAATTTAAGGATTTTTGATCGAGACTGTGCACAGAAAAAGTCAAAAATAATCAAAATTAGATATTTATTAGTTAAAAATATAGAAATGGGCATTAAAATTTTACCTGTAGAGCCTTTCTGTATGCAGTTCCGGGAAAATTCAAAGGAGCAGAAACCACTCCTTTCATGAATGTTATGTACTCTTTTTTCAACTGCTCAGTCTCTGGTTTTCCAGGCTCCAAACTCATTATGTGTTCAGCCATCAAGTTGAATGTAAACTGCAAAGAAATATAAAATCCATCAAAAGCTGAAACAAATAGTCGATTCCACGATTAGTACTCTCATTTTCCATACCTTCTTGGCTTCATCCTGTGCACAAATGATAGAATTTTCAATCCAACAGTCAAAAACTAGTAAAGTATGCTTTTCAACTTCTTTTAGAAGATGGGTTCTGAGCCTGGAATTGCTCAAGAAATTGAGAGATATAATCCTCATATCCCTGTGCATGTCACCAACTAAAACAAGCATAGACCATTTTCCAAGAATTCCTCCTATGCTTCTGGGATAGCTGCACTCAAACAATTTCCCTTCATTCTGTAGAATGAATCTATTCAGCCCTGCATCAGCCGATACTATCGTCGGCTCGCCAAATAAATGGGATTTGTAGATTTTTCCATATCTGTATATCAGAATTCGAATGTCAGCTAGAGAATTTTTATTTTTTTTATTTATTTTTTTTGGCAGGGTTAATGAGTATTAATGAATTATTTACCTGGAAATATGTTCCTCCATGAATTTTCCTATTGTAGTAGCTGTATATGGCTTCAAATAAGCAATGGTTTCACCAAGAAAAGGCCAACCCATATTTCCTGGTGGGAGATTCTCAGAGTAATTTTGTTTTCTTCTATATAGGCTAAGGATAATAAGAAGAGCCAAACCCAGAAGAAAGAGAATAAACTCCAAGTCACACATGGTGATTCTCTCTATGTATCTCTCTCGACTGGAATCAAACGTCTGCTTTTGTGAAGGTATTCATCTGATTAAAAGGAGCTTTCTATTTTGTTTTTCTCAAGCTATTATGTTGCCTTAAGCAGGTGGTTTGGAGAGAAAAACATCATTTTGGTTAAAACGCTTTGGTCAATAACATTATAATAACAATAATCTGGTTTTATATATAGGGTTTTCTTTCTTTCCATTTTGCACCATCATATATTCCTCAATATCCATCTTAAAGGCAAATTGTTGGGTTCAACATTTAACAGTGAGGTCATGCATGACGGAAAGGTGAATAATGATAAACGAAGTCTTGTTCAATCACAAGAACGAGATAAGATTTATTGTCGAATTTTACTGTCTAAATAATTGTCCAACGAATTATTGACATGTCATTAATTTGATTGATTAATGATGAAATTAATGAAGATAAATTTGAGATAATATTTCAATTATTGATGACACGTCAATAATCCTTTTATATGTTCTTCACCAAGGGATAAACTGATTCCATTTCCCTTTCCAAGTTTCTTATCCTGAAGATAATAAGAATAGGGCCATTTTTTTTTTTTACTCACTTGTTTAATTCGAGAGTAAATTACTTGCACGTGTACATAATAATGATTCAACGAAAAAGGGTCCCATTTATTTTGTATCAGAGGGAAATGAAAAATCGAGTCTTTATCAAATTATTGAGATTTGTACAAAGAATTTTGACGCGTTGTATACGTTTACAAGTGATATTTTTAAGTCTATGTTTGGTTCTCATTTTTCTTAAATTCATTTTTCAAAACACTTTCAACCATAGATTTTATTATATTTTCATTTTTTTAATAAATTTTTACATTATACATTTAACTTTTATTAAAATCTGCCAAAAAAGTCGATTTTTAGTTAAACCAAGCTGGAGCTAAGTGATAATAGCATATTTTAAA